AATTAAAAAAATATATACAGTTGCACCCTCCTAAGTGCATACCCCTCGGGACCATAGTGAAAAAAATACAAAATATGCACTTAGAGGAGGTGTGCACTTAGGGAGATTAAATTTTATAATTGTTATATGAGTTGGGACCAAGCAGGGGCATGTATATTAGAGGAGTTTTTCATATACCATGCACTTAGGGAATGTGCACTTAGGGGGATCTGACTGTATATTTTATGTCAATCTTGAAAATTTTTTGAAAGTGATTTAAATAAATTTGAGATAATTAAATTGTTTTAAAACTGTGCAAATTAGTATAAATTATTTTAAATTATTTTAATTAAATAATTTTATTAGTAAATATTAATATAGTTTTATTTATTTAGAATTTAATAATAAATTGGGCTCATCAATTTATTAATTTTTTTAATACATATTCTATATTAAAACTAACATTTTTAAAATTACATTTATGAATCTATTATACAACTGATTTAATTAAAAAATATAGTACTTTAAATAAATTTTCTACAGAAATTTATAAAAGTCTTTATAAAGATTTTATTAAAAAACTATATTATTTAACTAATAAAACAAAATATAAAGAATTAAATAATAAAAATAATAATAACTGTTTAATTTTTTAATAATATTTATAATATTTTTATAAAAGATAACAAATTTATTTATTTTAAATAAATTCAAAGACAGGCTATAGTATCAAAATTATTATTAATCAAACCAAAAATTTTAAACCTATAAATCTTTTTAAATTTATTAAATTAATTTCGATATTTGGTTTAAATAATAATTAGCAATTTATTAATGACAAATTAGAAATTATAGACCAAATTCTAAAATATATTTTGGGCTTAAATATTTTTTTATTATTTAAAAATATATTTTAGTTTAACAAACTAAAAAAATATAGATGATTATATTATTTAAATATATAGCTCAGTAATTTTAGAAAATAGATTTATAATTAGAGCAATAGATAATTTTTATAAAAAAGTCTGGTATACAGGCAGGGAATAAACTAAATTAGAATAATATAGGTTGCTCTATTTTTAGCAACAAAATATTGATCAGACTATTCTAGATTTTTTCTGATTATTCTATATACTCATCAGCTTTGTGCAACTAGCTAATAAAATTCCAAGAATTTTATTATAGTTTATAGTTTTGTACAGTCAGACCTCTCTAAGTGCACCCTCTATAAGTGCACACCCTCTCTAAATGCACGCTCAAGTGCCAGCCCAAATATATACTTGACCTCCATAAATGCACTTTTTCTTATTATTCTCTATATGCACGTTATTAAAATGTGGTCCCAAGGGCGTGCGTTTAGAGAGGTCTGACTGTAGTCTATACATGTTCATACTAATAAATATCAATTAGCAACTAGAGATCTTGGTACATATTTTGGTCTTAATTAAATAATAACAATCACTAGACTTTGTTTTTTTAAATCAGATCATAGAAGTAGCAACCACAATATTGAGAATTTTTCTTAACAAAGATATTATACCTTAATAGATAGGAAAGATTGAGAAGTTTGTTATATTGGTATAATAACTAATGAAGACATTAATTAAAATCAAAGAATGTATTAATATTAAAATACTAAAAAAAGTCTTATTTTATTATAGGTAAATATAAAAATACATGGTAGGGTTAGGGTTTTTTTCTGTGCATCTAAGATCGATTTCATTCTTATTAGGACTCCTCAGTTAGATGTAGCTATTTGTAAAGTTGTTAAAGTACAAAAGTTTAGTCTGAAAACTGTCTAATTTATAACTTTCCAAACTATTACAAATTTCTAATATAAAATACTATTTTTTATTTAAAAACTTATTGATATACCAATCAAAATCTTTAATTTTAATTATATAATTTTATTTTAAAAGTTAATTACACTTACTTTATTAAATTACTTAATTTGGGTTAATTTTAAATATTAATTTACTCTAATTAAATTAAACTTTTTAAATTAATTCTTATTTATGCATTAAATAAATTTTAATTAAAGGATTTTATAATTTATTGCTATGGCTTTATATTGCTAGTCCCTATAAGTCACGTGGCTATAGTAATAATATATAGGATCAGCAGTTTGTATTACATAGAATTAGCAGTTTGTATTACATAGGATTGGCAGTTTGTATTACATAGGATTGGCAATTTGTATTACATAGGATTGGCAGTTTGTATTACATAAGATCAGACGTTTATGTTCTATAAGATTGTGTCATTTTATTTAATTGTGTAATGTTACTTAATATAGAGTTTGAACTGGTTTTATTTTTCATACGTTAAACCTGAGTTTAATCAGTTTTAACATATGAAAAATATAACCAGTTCCAAACTTTAACTCAACAGATTAAGTTAAAGGTAGGAGTTAGTATATACTATTATATAGTATAATGAAGAGCGATGCATAATAAACACACAATGTAGTATCTACTGCTAAAAGTTTTTATAACAAGTATACTAATTCACTAAAAGTAAGCTAAAAATAGTGATGATTTATAGTAAGAAAATTATAACTGATACTTTACAATAAAAGGGAAAATAAATGCTTCGCTTTTTAATATGAAAGATGCACATTTTAGAACCTACTCTATTATATCAGAGGCATATCACAGGTTGAATCAATGAATAATGAGTACATATCGGGAGACAAATCTCCTAATATATACCCATTATTCTACCATAGATCCGCCAAATAACTGTAGCATATTGGTTAAATATCGGAAAATAAATTGCTAATGGTAATATAACAGTAATATTCTGGGACATCCTGGTATCTTACTCTTAGTCCAAATAGTGTTAAGAGGAAAATACTAGGATGTCCCAGTATGTTACTGTAATATTACAATTATTAATCTAACTCGCGGATTTATGATAGAATAATGAGTACATATCGGGAGATTTGTCTCCTGATATATACTCATTATTCAACAGGAGAGAACATTGTTGTTACTTGACTGATTTTATACACGGTGTAAAACACATAAAAAATGATTTTACAATACTTGATCAGACTTGATCAGTCAGCTAGTACATGTTATGATTAGAATCCCACACCATTTTTTATAATTAAAAATGGTATGGGATTCTAATCATAATATGTACTAGCTGACTGATCAAGTCCGATCAAGTATTGTAAAATCATTTTTTTATGTGTTTCACACTGTGTGTAAAATCAGTCGAGTAACAACAACATTCTCTCCTGTTCCATTATTTATTGATTCAACCTGTGTATATTATATTAACTAGTAATATAAACCAAACCCAAACAATTTGTAACTTTACCTAATTTGGAATTTTTCTGCACAGTCTAAGATCGATTTCGTCTTTATTGGGACTCCTCAGTTAGACGTAGCTATTTGTAGAGTTGTTAAATTACAAAAGTTCAGTCTGAAAACCATCCAATTTATAACTTTCCAAACTATTACAAATTCCAAATGTAAAACACTATTTTTCTTTGAAAAACTTTATTAATATACCAATCAGAATCACTGATTTTAATTAAATAATTTTATTTTTAGAAGTTAATTAAATCCTTTATTAAATTACTTAATTTGGATTAATTTTAAATATTAATTTACACTACTTAAATTAAATGTTTCAAATTAATCCTTATTTATGCATTAAATAAATTTTAATTAAATTAATTTTTAATTTATTTACATAAATCGTTAAACATAATGTATACAAATTATTTATTTATATACTAAATTAATTATTAATTAATTAATTATTAATTAATTTATTATCGTTTGTGTTTAATTAAATTCCTAATTTATTTATATTTCAGAAATTAAATGCATATAATTACCAAATTTAGTCACAATCCGATCTGAAGATAAGGGCCCCAAATTTAGTAATTTCGATCTGTACATTTAATTAATTAAAAATTTTCGAATATATTAGATATTAAATAAACATCTAATTAAACTAAATATCCAAATAGGGTTTTTCTGCGCAGTCTAAGATCGATTTCATCCTTATTGGGATCCTCAGTTAGACGTAGCTATTTGTAGAGTTGTTAAATTACAAAAGTTCAGTCTGAAAACTGTCTAATTTATTACTTTCCAAACTATTACAAATTCCTAACGTAAAACACTATTTTTCTTTAAAAAACTTTATTGATATACCAATTGGAATCCCTGATTTTAATTAAATAATTTTATTTTTAGAAGTTAATTAAACTTCCTTATTAAATTACTTAATTTGGATTAATTTTAAATATTAATTTACTTTAATTAAATTAAACGTTTTAAATTAATCCTTATTTATGCATTAAATAAATTTTAATTAAATTAATTTTTAATTTATTTACATAAATAGTTAAACGTAACGTATACAAATTATTTATTTATATACTAAATTAATTATTAATTAATTAATTATCGTTTGTGTTTAATTAAATTCCTAATTTATTTATATTTCGGAAATTAAATGCATACAATTACCAAATTTAGTCACAAACCCGATCCGAAGACAAGGGCCCCAAATTTAGTAATTCCGATCCGTACATTTAATTAATTAAAAATTTCCGAATATATTAGATATTAAATTAACATCTAATTAAACTAAATATCCGAATAGGGTTATTTAATATATATATATATATATATTATACCTTAACTGTTTAGGGTTAATTTAGGGTTATTTAGAAAAGAATATAGTGGTTTCTTTTTTAGGAATTAATTATACTATATTTAAACTTAATTTATACTTATTTAGGCTTAATTTATCCTTAATTAGAAATTAATATTACCAAATATAGAAACAATGTTAAAACATTTATTCCGAAACTATTGTTTATTATAGTTAGGGTTAGTATAGGGGTTAGGGTAGGGGTTCCCACTTCGTTAGAAGTGGGCCTCATCCTTTATTTTAAATTTCTTTCCCTATGATTTTACTGTTTAAAGAAGAAAAAATATATTGTCCTATTTTAAATAGTTCAATATTTTTGACTTTAAACTTTAAACTTACTCTCTTTACAGATGAGTATGTAAAACCTTCTTTTTTGCTTTATTTAGTATATCAATTATTGCTTGTCCGCTTCTAACAAGTAATGCGATTCTAAGTACTCGATTAGACTGTACCGAAGCGTTGCAGTTATATATCTTTAAAACTTGTTTTAACATTTTAACAAGTATCGCTCTTTCTGGAGTATTATTTAAAGGTAATATAAAGTCGACTTTATTAATAAATTCATTATCTTTATATTTTAATACCTTTAGTAATGCTTCTCTCTGGTTATAATCATTTTTACTTAGAAAATTATTAATTTCAATTATGGGATATTTCCTATTTCTTAAAAAATACTTAAATTCATGTAAAGCATTATTATAAGATTTAAGGTCACCAGAGTTACGGATAAGACGAATATTTTCACCCTGTATCCAGGAGTAGCGATAATTATATGGATAAAAGGATTGAGTATCTGTGTAAGCATGGACATTAGTTGGTTTATTATATGGCGAAACCAACACGTATCCATAATTATAGCTGGTATCCTCGTGCAAACTAATACCCATTTCTAGAGTTAAATCTAGAAAATTAATTTTATTTGCACAGGTACCTTCTAACTCGAAGTTTGAAGGAATAGCACAAGCTTCAATCCTATTAGCCACGAAATCGCAACCATAGGCATCATCTAAGATTGCAATAACATCATCTAGATATGACCTTACGTATAAAACACTATTAAATATTTTATTATCGAGAGGGCCAAATGCATCGATGAGAATTCTTTCCATATACAAATTGGCTGCTACTGGTGAGACTGAACTACCCATAGCTAGTCCTTTATATTGTTTATACCAATTATTTTGGTATTTGATGAAAGAATTTGAGTTAATCCATTTTAATAAATTAATATCAAAATCGACGATTGTTTTAGGTACTTTTAACATAAGTAACATTTCTTCTAATCTTATATACAAATCGTCTAGATCTATATTTGTATACATACTACTAATATCCCACGTATACAGACTAGCAGTAACTGGTAACTTCAATTTTTCAACTTCATTTATAAGTTTAATTGAGTTAGGAAGAATATAACCACATCTATGTAAATGATTTGACTATTTTTTTGCCAAATATTTAGATACGTCACTAGTAATTCATGAATAGCTTGGACTAATAGGACGACTTGAGATAGGGTTTTTATGCAGCTTTGGAAGTATATAAAAATAAGATCGTTTAAATTGATATTTAATAATTCGTCCCAAGCTTTTCTTTTTATATGCTCCAATTTGCAATTTTCGATAATTGCAAATAATTCTGCATAGACTTCAATTGTATTTAATGTCCAATTTCTTCACATATTTAAATATACAGATTTATTACCTAAATATTTTTTGACTTGATAATCATACCAGTCGAAATCCATTATGGTAAGTCCCATATTTTTATCTGCACACGTTACTACTAAATTATTCTCAACCAAAAAATCAAAGGCTTTTTCAAGCTTTTTATTTATACCAAACTTTGACTTGTTTTGAAAATTATTTTTATTTATTTTATTAATGCTTTGACGAGATATTATATCAAAGCTAAAATCTAAAATTTTTTCGTTTACATAAAATAAAGATACATCATTCGTTTTAGCTTTATTTAAACTATTTTTGAATTGTTTCTTTATTTCTTGCCAGCCTTTTTGGTATTGCTGAAAGGAACAGTATTTGGTAAGTTGGAAGTTAGCACCACAATTTAAACTTTTCCAAACATACATAGGCAAATATTTCAAGGAAGAAATGTTGTTTACACTTACGCCTTTTGGGGTTTTTTGCCTTTCGGCTTTGGGCCCTTTGGACGTTTTGACTATAGTTGTTTGTTGGGTTGAGAAGTAGGTTTTTTGGATTTTGCCTTTTTGGCGCTTTTCCTTTCCCTTTTTCTTCTTCCTTGTCCTTTTTTCTTTTTTTGCTTGATACTTGGTTCTGTATGTTCCCAAATATCTGAGTTAGTATTTTCTGATAGTATAGTTATATCACTATCATTATCATTGCCTACCATGGAAGGAGTATCTCCCAATATTTTTTTGGCCTGAAACGTATCAGCAAATTTTACAAACTCATCATAGTTGAACTTCGCGATATTACTGGTCATATCTATCCAGTATTTTTCGGGTTCATTCTTGGGGACGGTATGGTTTTCAATCCCCTTACTATTTAGCAAATTAGTACCCGCCGCATTTAATTCTTAATTAAATTCTTTTGCTAGCTTATCTCTAGCTTCTCGGAGAGTAATGACCTTATCAGTCAATGTAGCTACACAATGCTCTTGGAGCTTCTCATGTACTTCTGTGTTGATTTTGGTTACAACTTCGGACTCAATTTTTCCTGGTACTTTTAATTTTAAGTCGTGTAGACTACCAACTACACTTTTTGAGACTTTTTCAATTTTAGCCTCTGCAGTATCGAGAGCACGCGAAATGCTTACATACTTTTGTTTGTACACAGAAAGAACTGGCAAAGAATAGTCAGCAGTATTCTTTGCTTCTGCATAAATTTGGGCAGTAGCCTTTCCTTTTTCTTTTTTAGAAGAAGTAGTTTGGGCCGCCGAAGTAGAACCTTGAGAGATGTCAAGTTCCATTTTTTGTAGTTTTTTATTATTAAAAGATTTAAGAGTTGTGTTTTAGTTGTTTTAGGGTTAGGGTTTTTCTGCGCAGTCTAAGATCGATTTCGTCCTTATTGAGACTCCTCAGTTAGACGTAGCTATTTGTAGAGTTGTTAAATTACAAAAGTTCAGTCCGAAAACCGTCCAATTTATAACTTTCCAAACTATTACAAATTCCTAACGTAAAACACTATTTTTCTTTGAAAAACTTTATTG